CACCGTGGCCGGGCATATTTTTCAAGCTCGCCCGGTGTGGATATGCACTCAGAGTAACATCACAAACATATTATTCACCTGAGTACACAACACCAGCACAGAAAAAAAAACAAGTAATAAAGTTATAATATTATGTTGACAAGATTCTTTTTTGATAAGGTACAGTATACCTTGTAACTTTCTGCCCACAAATAAGATAATCCATACACTCTCGCCTGTGGTGAAATTTGAGCATTTTTCACCAGTCCTCTCAACGAGTCCATGGCTTTTACTTCCTCCACTGAATCAACAAAATTGTGTTGCACTGCCGAGAAACGCGAGGCCTGAAAGAAACTAAGAGTAAGAATTTTTCTTATTGTACTCTTGTAGGAGAAACTAAACGAGGACTGGAAATATGATATGCATAGAAGGACTTTGGAAAGTCAAATAAAAGAGAAGATTCAACCAAAAGAAATTCGTTTAAGACTGTGGGCGGAAAAGTTGGTGTTTCAAAATGTTCAAAACGTTTATTTTCCCATCTCACTAAAAATACGTTCGTGAGGTCTGGCCTAAATGTTCATGAATGTTTGCCATTATCGTCAAAAATCGTTATAGTTACATTCATTTCAATAGAAGGATCTACCTCAATTCTGTTTCGATCTTCATTCCACTTGATGTGACTTGCGAATTTTCTTCCTTCCGTTCGATTTAGAAATACTTTAAGGTTGTAGTAAAACGCATTTGGGTTGTCGATAGCTGGAAACGATAAATTGTAATCACGCTCTCTGTAATTTGATGATGTGTTGTAATGATGTTTTGTGGTTGCGCCATTCCATAAATTAAAACTATATGGACAGCTGTACGAAAATTTTGTACCTTTTGAGAGATACAATGACTTACCTATGGCACTTTGGTGGCGCAGTCGTTTGAGCAAGGGCGTTTGATCCTGCGTAGCCTCCGCTTTATTTTATTGAAAGTTTTGAGGATTTATGAATAAATGCCGTTTTTTCTCGTATGTTTTTCTTCGCCCATTTTTCTGACCCGCAATTTATTAAAAAATCCTCATGCAAAACCTTCAACAAAATAAAGCGACTCAGTGCTACACAGGCTACAGCATTTCACTTCGTAGATCGTGAGTCAGTCGACTCTGGCGAAAGTCGTGGGTTTTCTCTGGGTGTTCCGATTTCCTCCAACACGACGAGAGTGGTTTGAGATTAACACAGTTAAAGTAATGTCACAATTTTGTTGTAAAATTAAAAAGAGTCTAGGCCATGTATGTAATTAGGTGATCCTATAACACTTGAAATACAAAATATAAAACACATTTGATTTTGATCATATCCACATTTAAATTTGCGCTATAGAAATCTTAATCTTATTTACTTGTTTCGCCAGGCTGTATGTATAGAAAATTAAAGTAACTTGTGAAAACGTGACGTTACATAAAACCCACATGCAGAGACCTTCGGGTTCGGAACCTAAACCTTCCGGAAATGTTCAAAAAATGTGACCTCCCCATTTGAGTGAGTGCTTATCTAGGGATGTTGTAATCATCCTTACTAATGAGGGAGGCATCTAGTTGAAGGCTATAAGGCTGCCTCTGTAGCCACGTATAAGTGACTCAGTCTGATCGTACAGCTACAGTGGAAGCGTCAGTTTGGGATTTATTCTAACCCTCCCCGTCAATATTTGATATGGGAGAAAACCGGAATACCCGCAGAAAATCAACAACTTTCTGTACAACATTGACTGTAGTTCTCACGATGGCACCAAATTATTAAACGATACATACTTGAATTTGTGAAGTCAACATAATGTGGTTTGTTATTTTTCATCCACTTGACATATTCCTCATACCAACTTTCGACACTATTACTGGATAAACGTTCTGTCTCATTTTGAAGTTTACTGTAGAGATTATGCAACTTCGTCTGTTCCTTGTAATAATCCATCGAACCTTTAAGAAAGAATACATGTTATTAAAATGTAAAACTTATTTCGAGACGCACATATCGTGCAGAAAGGTGTTATATATAGTGAAAACCAATACTGTTTGTAGTAAAAGGATGTCCGTTGTTCAACTAAGTCAGATCTAACGCTGCATTTTGTGTAATAATAGAGGATTTATGATCAAGTGAAACCAGGCTAGTTTAACATTATCCATAAGCGTACGGGCAGGCGGGGAGGGGGAATTAAATTGTGTTAACATACTCTCTTTCTACAAACGTAATATAGACTTCGCCGTTTGCAGGTAGCGGTCAGCCGTAAACGTCATTCTTATAGTCTCTAATGTCAGTGCAAATTGCACTTACCGATATATATAGCAATCGGGTGTCCGTTGTGTGGGAACTCCTAAACGGAAAGATATTGGAAAGATAAAGTCACGAAGTGGTATTACAGTAGAATATTTAAACATTAATAGGCAAAAAGATATTGGGGCTATTGCATGACCAACATCTTCTGGCGTGTGACAGAATGAGATGCTTAGCGCTTGCGTTAAATATAGCTCTACCACATTTAAAGTGTGCTAGCTATGTAAGAGCCTTCATCGCTTGATAACCCCGTGTTGTTGCAGCCTGCAGGAGGAAAGGGCTTTCTTGTATTTAGTAGATTCAAACTGGAAGCAATCTTCTGACATGCAACTGCATGAGGTGAAATTATATTGCGACAAATAATTATATACATAAAAAAAATTCTCAATTCTGATTGGCTAAGAGCAGTGCAATTTTTTCGAAATACGTACAGTGCCAAAAAATGAAATACAGTGCCAAAAAATGAAATACAGTGCCAAAAAATGAAATACAGTGCCAAAAAATGAAATACAGTGCCAAAAAATGAAATACAGTGCAAATTTCTTATTTTTTTAACTTTTCTTACTTTTCTTATTCTTCTATTTTTCAAATTTCTTAATTTTCTTAATTTCCAAATGCAACTTACGCACATCATTTTTTAGTCTATTATTAATAATCAATGGTATGGTTTCTCGTGCAATTTGAAAAAAGACATATACATATATATATATACTTTATTATAGCTCCCTAAGAAGGACTTCAAATTACACTCGTTCCGAATGATAGTCTTTGGAAAACTCATTCGTGCACGTTTTTTTTCCAAATTGCACTCGAAACCATACTAGCTATTACCTATACAAAAATGAATATTACATAAGTAAATATTACCACTAAAATGAATATTACCACTCGCCCACTTGTAAACAAAATAAAATAAAGAAGTTGAACTCCGGTAGCAGCCGTAAAAGGTACATGCATTAATTATAATTATTGCAACGCGCCGCCATCTTGCATGGCCTTTGCTGTTTCATGAAAATTTATACTGTACCTTCCCATCAACCTCCAAATATCTTCTTATAACCGAGTCACGTGGTAGTATCCATTTAGGTTCAAAATGTTGACGTAATTTTAAACATCCTCGAACATTGACTGCGAGAAGAACGCCAACAGCAACTAAAGTTAATACCTAAATACGAGGGCAGATTAACCATGTTATTTTTCATCAGTAAATAATTTTGGGTTTTAGTGCCTACTGCAGTGTTAAGGCATGCCTGGATAGGAGCAAAAACATGTGAAATAAAAAACAATGTGTTGTATAACAAAGCATTAGTTAGTAATTATTGCAAATAATTATATTAAAGGCCAGAATACTTAGTGGCGTGGCCAATTCAAGGGGGTGGAGGTGAAGGAGTGCATCCTCTGGATATTGATAAAATTGACTTCTTATGTGAAAAGATTTTTCGTCGGAACAACTCTCGGAGAGCCTAGAAATTTCTCTGGAGAACCATGACCCCAGAACCCACTGCAATTTACACTTATGCTCAGAATCAGTGTGCGTAATTCTAGCTTCCTCAGCCCCCAATGAAAACACTATATTGGAGTGAATTGTATTGTCATATTTAGATTCAAATTATTCGAGGTTAACACCATTCATTTATTTAAGCCAGAGGCAAAAATTCTGATTTTATATCTAATGGCTGTTAACTCGCATAACACCTTCTTTCCACCGATTCTAAATTACTTATAATTATCTTAACTTAGGATATGGAACTTCTTTCTGAGTTGTTTTACCAAGAGTAGTTGCAATAGATTTTACAAATATTGCTAATATTCAATTAAAGCTATTTAGACCAGTGCTGTATTTAAACATGATAAAAGTTTCCTCACCTTAACTGGTAATTTCATTAAAATTTTTGCATAAATTTTCTCGAAGAAGAGCTGAGAGTATTGAATTGATCCACACTTGTTGGGTGTGTAGTTTGATGGTAAAATAATGCAGTTCAGACATCCATCGCGATTTTGACTTTGTCTAAAAATCAGAATACACTCTATGGTATGAAAATCAATGTTATATAATTTATGACACAAATTCTGGTTGTTTTACAACTATTATTTTGCCCAGCAGCCACATGCCGCAAATGAGTGTCTAACTCGCTTTTCTTCCTATAAACATCATTCAGACACGCGTTAATTTTAACAAGTTTATCTCAGCCTCAATTCTTTCACGCGTAAACCTCATTAACGATGCAATCATGCAATTAGTGTAAAATACTTACTGATCACTAAAGTAATATTTTGAAAAACAGTCAAAAACAAAAAATATGAAAGATATTCCAACTTTTGACAAGATTTCAGTCAATTGAATAACAATAATAATGGTTACCTTCTGGCGTCAATTGTCAACCACCCAACAAAGAATGTTAGTTGAAACACATATCCTGATAGTATACCTGATAAACAGGTACAAATATAGCACTTTATTATTTTAAAGATTTTGAAACGGTAATTCCAATAAATAATTGAGCTTACCAACTGCTGCATAAAAACAAAACGACTTTAATCCAGGTAAAATCTAAGGACAATAGATTGCATTATATAAGATGTATTTGAGCATTGTACTACGTGAAAATAAGATCAGCGATAAGAGGAATTTTCAAAACAGTCGACAAAGTAGACAAGCAAAATGATAATAATCAAGGCATATATATTATGTAATGTAGTCAATAATTCAATAATCCCTACTGTAACAATGACATAAATACATAACTCCTACAGTAACATTGATATAACCTTTTCAAACGCGTTAATGCATGAGTTAAGATCAAACTGAGAAATATTCTGAGAAATATCCCTCAGATGTGATTCACGAGCGAATTGTACAACGAATAATTGCATGTATACTACCTCAGATGTTACTCACGAGGCATACTTGTACAAATTAAAGGTCAATCTGAGAAGTACTCAGAAAATGATTCAATACCCCCTAAGATGTAATTAACGAGGAAGAATTGTACTTACAGTTGTTCCACCGACCAAGAATGCTAACACATCAGTGACAGTCGTCACAGTTATCGACGTCCCCTGGGCAGGAATGAAATTATATTTTACATGTGGAATATAGCAAACAAATAAGAAAGCAACAAACTTGTCCTCAAAGAAATCCAAGTCACTCTTATAAATCACAGATACTCAGACAAGAACTTACAGAATGTTTTAATGCAAGACCAATTCTTTCTTCAATGGGTCTACTACGATGAACTGGTGAGGAAATATTCGACCACGATTGCACAATTATAAATAGATCATCAACGCCAATTCCTGAGAACATTCATTAGCGCTTATTCATTTGGGTTTGTTGTTTCTTTCAATGTCAAAATTCAAAATCGCAAAACTTCAACCCCTAAGCATAAAGAGCTGCACAAAGGACATGCACATGTAACCAAGTATAAATGGTGGGAAGTTGACTTTTGCAAAATCCTACAACATATGCTCTTTTTCGCGCTTTCAGTCGAAGTTTTGCGGTTAGGAGTTTTGATTTTCAGAGGAAAAGGTTATGACTACTTATTAAAATGAGAGAAGTGCAGTGTGCAATGAGTGAGTGGAAGGAACTCGAAGTGACTACTGTGCTCAAGTACCCCCAGATGTCTTTCTCAAAGGCATTCTTTATTCAAAAATTCTCTTTATTTTGCATATAATGTTTCTTACCAAGCAAAAGAAAAGGTAGCGTCATATGAGCTGTTCCAAACAGTAACCCCATGGCACTGCAGAGACCAACCGATACACCAATAGACATCCCCACACCAAACACACCAACACAAGCCAACCATATCTAGAAATATATGCATTTTCAAATTATGTTAATTGGCTCATCTCACATGAGTCACTTGATGATCCCACTCAGGGTAAAACTGGTCGATGGTTTAGTCAGTCAACATCAACCAAGCTACATATTATGTAAATTTATACAGACTTGTTAACTAACTGGAGGGTGTATGCTATGATGACGTCATACAACTACCACTACCAGGAGTAATTCAATCACGTATACAGTAATAACCTTGAATGACAGATACAATGTCAAACATCATCGCGCACAAAAATGGCCAAATTGGTGCTGTTGCTGTTGCTGTCAAATAATATTTTAATATTTAAAGTTAGCACTTTGACACTATAATCTCGTGATCGTAAGAAGCTAGTAATTAGAACGTGGAACAAGGTCAGAGGTGCAAACCGAGCATAGAAATCGTTAGTACACTATTGTGATTCACATTTCTATAGCGTAAATTTATATGTGAATATGATCAAATGAGCTTTACATTAACTATTAAGATTACCTAATTACATACTTAGCCTAGAATATTTTATACTTTCAAAAATTCATATGAAATTCCCTAACCAATTTGTCATATTTTACTTACTGAAAGCAATAGGCTTCCCGTCATTTTAGATTAATTCTTCATCTTATTAATGGTGCATGGTTTTGGTAATGACAAAAGCAGGCTTAACGATACTCCTATGGGAACAAACTAACAATTGATAGATTCTTAGAACGATGATGAGCATTCCAAATTTGGGAAAATATTTGCGTCATCCTGCTGGTGACATAACATGTCCACAATAATCCTTCACTGATTTATGAAGATTTTGGTCAACACATTTTGAAAACTATAAAGCAACTTATGAACATTTTGGAAGAAGCTTTTTCAAATTTGAAGATTCTTCTTGAACGACACAAGTTTCCATTTAAACTCAGACGGTCTGTCCCTGCAGCGTAAGTATAGTATCAATAACACTTGATAGGGATTCAACCACCTGGAAAGTGACGTAAAACTTCGATGTTTTGAGCGAAGACCCTTCCTTGGGAAGTTAATGGCCAACTAAGGAACTTCCCTACCAAGGGCATTCGAACCGTGGAAGATTTATTTGTATTTTACAGGTTTTTAATCCCTCTCAATCCGAAACTTTCTGGTTTCCATTCATTCGTAACTGACGTAAGTGGCCGCTGTAAGAAAGTGATCGATATATCTCTACAGTTGATAACAGTAAACATCAGTCAGTTAGGCTTCCTGTTTAAATATTACATACTAAATACAGTACACAACGACTGCCGGATTGAATGAAATCTTGATTGCAGTGGCGTAAATTTCGGGGGGGGGGGGGGGGGGGGTTTTACCCAAA